TTTTTTTTTGATATGATGAATGCTGAGTCTATGATAAATGATAACCCTTTTCCTCAATCAATCTCCACCTCCAACGTTAAAATTCAAATTCTTAATTTAAATTCTCAATGAGTAAGATTTCTTGAAGAAGAACGACACATTTACAAGGGCTTAATTCAATTTTTAGTCTATTAACTATTACCTTGATTTCATTTTAGTCTAAAAACTATGTTTTATTTCTAAGTGGTCTATTAACTTTCAGATTCATTTCAATTTCGTCTACTTGGTTAAAGATAACGGAAAACTTCTTATTATGTTAGAGAACAATTAGTCCTCTAACTATATTTTTTTATCTTTTAGTTCTCAAATTTATATTTGTTATAAAAATAGCTTTTATACTTAAAATTATTATTTTTAAGCTCTGATACCATATTTTTATACTTAAAATTATTATTTCTAAGTGGTCTATTAACTTTCAGGTTCTAATATCAAATTAAAAAAATAAGAAAACTCGTATAAAAATCTAGTATCAGAACCTATAAATAATAATTTTAAGTAAAAAAATATTTTTATAACAAAGATAAATTTAAAGACTAAAAGATAAAAAAAAATATAGTCAGAGGACTAACTAATTCTCTAACATAATAGGAAGTTTTTCGTTATTTTTGACCAAGTAGACGAAATTGAAATGAATCTGAAAGTTAATAGATCACTTAAAAATAAAATATAGTTTTTAGACTAAAATGAAATCAAGGTGATAGTTAATAGACTAAAAATTAAATTAAGCCCATTTACAAGACGATACAACTTTATCTTACTAATAAAATAATCATTTCTAATGTTTTCGCACAGGGAAACGAAGGGCATTGTAGTAAATACGTTTCTTGAACTAGAGCCATTTGCAATTAAGTCGGTTTCTGAAGGTGTGTTTCCTCCTGTTTACCCTGTTGGTCCAATTGTTGACCTTGCTGGGCCGGTCCAATGGCACCCGAACCGGGGGCAGCATGAAAGCATAATGAGATGGCTTGATGATCAGCCTCCATCATCAGTGGTGTTGTTGTGCTTTGGGAGCATGGGAAGTCTTGGTGGACCTCAGCTGAGGGAGATTGCCCATGGGCTGGAACGGGCCGGACATCGGTTCTTATGGTCAATCCGTGAACCGCCAAAGGCTAAATTAGACCTACCGGGTGAGTACAATGTTGTGGAGGAGGTTTTGCCGGCCGGGTTTCTTGATCGTACGGCTGGAATTGGGTTGGTGTGTGGATGGATCCCACAAGTATCGATCTTGGCCCATCAGGCGACCGGAGGGTTCGTATCTCATTGTGGTTGGAATTCAGTGTTGGAGTCTCTATGGTATGGAGTTCCTATTGCCACATGGCCACTCTATGCTGAGCAACAGATGAATGCGTTTCAACTGGTGAAGGAATTGGGATTAGCAGTAGAGATTAGGGTGGATTACAGGGAAGGCAGTGATCTGGTGTTGGCTGAAGAATTTGCAAATGGGTTGAGGCGTTTGATGGACGGTGGTGATGAGGTGAAGAGAAAGGCAAAGGAAATGAAACACAAAAGTAGGAAGGCCTTGATGGATGATGGATCATCATATAGGTCATTAGGGTCCTTAATCCAAGAATTAGTGGCTGAGATTTAAAGTTTCAATTTTGACATTTGTAGCTTACTGATTACAATAAATTAACATAGTCCTTGCATACATATAACTTTGTGCAAAACAAAGACTTCACTTAAAATCCAAGTACAGGATGACTCTTAACGGAAAATGGATTATCATACAAATCATTGAGAACCCCTAATTAAGGGTTTAACAAACTCGTCATTGTTGTAGATAATTCATAAGTTATGCAATCAAGTTAAATAGGTTACATGGAACTTATTTTCAGTGGAAATAAAATGATTTGAATTTGGGTTTTATTTATTTATTTATTTATTTATTTTAATTTTAACGGGATAATATGTTAAACATGCTACTCAAATTTAACCCGTTTTTTTTTTTAATTCTCAATGAAAGAAAATTATTATTAAATTAATTAATAGTGTTATTTTCTTATTTTACGAGTAAGTGGCAAACTCGTAATAAAATTGTAAAATCATGGCTCTTTACGTCAGGCAGTGATGAAACGGCAGCGCGAACGCTAATTAGCGGGAAGGCACCGCCTATGACTGGAGTTGGATTCCATAGTGTACTAGGTTTTCTCGTTTGGTTGCTGAGAAAATTGGAGGGAAAATAAAGGAAAAAGGAAAGAATGCCAGTGGCGAGACCAGAATCCTCCGATTCTAGGGTCATTGCCCATATCGACTTGGACTGCTTCTACGTTCAAGGTCTCGCTCTTTCTTTTAGATTCTAGGAGGGTCGTTAACGGCTTCTTGTGAATTGGGTGATGCCTAAATTTTGCAAGGAATTCCTACAGTGCCTTTTTTATTTCTCTTCTTTTGGGTTTCTTTCTGTTCCTTTAATTTTCAATTTTAAATTATGGGGATTGTATTGCTCCATGGTTACATGTTTATTGCTCTTTTCTTTTTAGAAGAAAATCCAAGTCAAGTTTTCTTCTTACTGTCATGAATTTTAGGAAGTGTTTATTGCAGGATATCGAATGTACTTTCTCTTCAACATTCTCAAAAAATTCATTTGAAAGTTTGGATTTTGTGATGATATAATTTTGTAAATTTTCGATTGTAGTGGAGCAAAGGAAGCAGCCGCAGTTAAGGGGCTTGCCTACTGCGGTTGTACAATACAATGAGTGGAAAGGAGGGGCCTTGATTGCAGTGAGTTATGAGGCCCGAAAATTTGGTGTAAAGCGGTAATGGAATTTTCAGTAACTTATGAGCTTTTTTACTTGTTTGGTCATTGGGGAATACTGTTTTTCTTCTAAACTATATTCTTTAATGTTTTCAGGTCGATGCGGGGTGAGGAAGCAAAGGAAGTTTGCCCACAAATTCAGCTGGTCCAAGTGCCAGTAGCTCATTGTAAAGCTGATTTGAGCACATACCGCAATGCAGGTTCAGAGGTACAGGATTTGGAGAACATTCAGACTGTTTCAAGCATGCCATTGGTAATTCTAATTTAAATCTTTTTTTTTTAAGAGTAGTTAATAAAATATGCAGGTAGTGTCCGTTCTTTCACGGAAGGGCAGGTGCGAGAGGGCTTCAATTGATGAAGTGTATCTTGACCTTACTCATGTGGCTGAAACTATGCTGTTGGAAACACCTCCTGAGAGCTTGGAAGAAATAGATGAGGAAGCTCTTAAGTCACATATTCTGGGATTGAGGATAGAGGTATGTTACCATGATCTGGAATCTTTCTGTCTGAGCGGGAAACAGGGTTTGATTTTAGAGTCAAGGAATAAATAGCATAGTTGCTTATGGACTGATTCCAATAGAGAATGCTTTCAGATTAAGTTCAATGCGAAGCTACTTGCTATTAGATGATTACTAATAATATTGGGTGAAACATCAAGTTCTAATCATGGCCATGAAGCTGTCTCAATTGAGAGGCAGGGAATTAATTTTTACTATTGTGGTTGTATATCACAAAGGACTTGGACTACATAAAGAGATGAAGTTATCAACTCATTTTATGTTTCTTTTCTGTTTCATTCTGCATATGTTGTATGATTCAGTGAAATCTTTTGTCTGCCCTACAATTAATAAGTCCATGACACTGTTTAGGTAGACCTGAAGCTTTCTATTATCTTCCTTCTCTAGCTGTGAACCATGGTGTTGGACACCTGAATTTTGTACTTTCAGCATGCCATTTCCCAGAAAAAAATTGTGAACTTAAAATTTGATGTATCCCAACAAGATTGTTCTTTTCTTTTCTTTTTTTCTTCTTTTTTATAGGTTTCATTAGATATTATATGTTGAGTCATTAACGTCCTTCCTCCCTTATCAGTATCTAAGATATAATAATGTATTTGGGCATTGTGTGCAGGAAGGAACTGATGCCATAGAAAATGTGAGGGAATGGATGTGTAGGAGCAATGCCCAGCACAAGGATAAATTATTAGCTTGTGGGATTCTCATTGTTGCAGAGCTTAGAAGGCAAGTTTTAAAGGAAACAGAATTCACTTGTTCTGCGGGCATTGCTCATAACAAGGTCTGTGATGGACTTTTCCTCACTTATGCCCTTTCGGTCAGTGCTGCCTTTGGGTTTTGCATCATTAACTTACAATCCCTTTGTAACAGATGCTAGCCAAGCTTGCAAGCGGTATGAATAAACCTGCTCAGCAAACTGTGGTGCCTTTCTCATCAGTAAAAGGACTGCTTGGCTCCCTACCAATAAGGAAAATGTAATTTTTTCTGAAAGACATGGTATCTTTCAGCTCATTGAGTGACCATCTCCCCCATACCTGGCTTCACTACATTCTTGAAGAAAGAGAAAATGCTTCAATGCTTGCATGCATGGATTTCTTTTTTGAAATAGAAAACATTATTTTGACAAATTTTATTTACAGGAAACAGCTTGGAGGGAAGCTAGGGGTTGCTTTACAAGTTGATTTGGGTGTGAACAATGTTGGTGATCTATTGCAGTTTCCTGAGGCAAAGCTACAAGAACATTATGGTGTAAATACTGGGTGATTATCTACCATTAAACAGATTATTTAAATGTTTAAAATTTTCGGACTTTTAAAATCTAAAAATTGGATTTTTTAACCAGGATGCTTCTTCTTCTTCTTCTTCTTCTTTTTAGGATGCTTAAATGAAGAAAGTTTTTATTGGTAACAATTAAATTTTTTGGCTTTTTTGAATGGACAGAATAGAGGTTTAATGTACTAAACCTCAACTAGTTTGGGTTTATTTGAGTTGAGTTCTTTAATTTTTTAGGACGCAGATCTCTCCATTACTTTTGTTTCTATCTATTTTTTCCAACTATGTTGATACTGCAGCCTATTTACACTGAACTTTAATATATGATTTGCATATCATTATACAATTTTCTAGAAGATTCCTACTTTTCTGAGCAAACTTTTTTTTTTTTTTGTTAAATCCTACCTATATGCAATCCAGTACCTGGTTATGGAATATTGCTAGAGGAATTGATGGAGAAGAAGTTGAGGGGCGCCTTCTCCCTAAGAGTCATGGTTCTGGGAAGTCATTTCCTGGGCCTCGGGCATTAAAGACAATATCATCTGTAAGAATTAATCATAATCAAACGAATTCCACTCTTGCTCTTGCATTCCATGAAGTCAGCCAGTATAGAATCACTATTGTAATCTTAGATTTTGGACAAGCTCAAAGAAAGATGGTGTTTGTGAGTTAAAATACCAAAATTTGAAATCTGTAACTTATCCATGTGAACTAATTACAATTGTTTAATGCTGACATTTTACCTTTTTTTGTTAATAATAATTAAAGCCTTGATCTTACTTTGAAACATGGAGGTTGAGCAATCTAAGAAGTTATTTACAATATTGATGATCATGCTGACAAAAATAAAAATAAAAAACTATATTGATGATTAACTCAATTGTCTAACTTTAAGTGTAGTTGCCTATGCTAAGTAGCGGCATGTGTTGGGATTGTTCCACTTGTGGTTGTAATGATGGTGGTATAAATTGGATTATGTGCAGTTTTGTTTCTAGCTTAGCCTGAGTTCTGTATTCAAAGCTTGCTTGTATTGAGACTATATCTACCTACATATTCAATTACAATTGTTGCATTTCAAGCAACATCACACTTGACTCCCTGCAACTGTTTCTTTTTGTTTAGGTTCAATATTGGCTCAATCAACTTTGTGAAGAACTCAATGAAAGGCTTTGCTCCGATTTGGACCAAAATAAACGAATTGCTCATACACTGACTCTTCATGTAAGAGCATACAAGGTATCAATCTATCACCTATGTTCCTTTTACTTTGATGTTCACCTGACAGCTTGTTTCTATCAACCAATATGGACTCATATAGACCATATGAAAACCTTTGGTACCCTCTTATCCTGATTATGATTGTTCTGTAGTCCAGCGACACAGATTCGCAGAAAAAATTCCCTTCAAAATCTTGTCCATTGAGGTATGGGACAGCCAAGATTCAGGAAGATGCCTTCAATCTATTTCAAGCTGGGTTCCGTGAGTACATAGGGTTCTATGGAGTTAAGACTCAGGGAATTCAGTGTAATGGATGGGGGATAACAGCTCTTTCTATTTCTGCAAGTAAAATTGTTCCCTTACCATCTGTAAGTTGAACCCTATGGAGTTTACATGGCTTCTAGTACATCATTGCATGCCAATAAGAGAGTACCTACTTGCTAGGGGAGTACCTCTGGACTGCTAATCATTTATTCAGATGTGGGCTCTTCTTTTTTTCCTGATGCCATATTAGCATGTCAAAAATAATCAGTCTTTTTTATTGTTTTGGAGTTTCCCATGAATACTGAAAATTAAAATCATATGTAAATAAAAGAATACATGTAATAGGGGAAGTCTCTGCAATACACTCTAATTGAATAGTCTAGACTTCTGTTTCTCTACGTATCTCCAATGATAAAAAATCCTGATATTATAGTCTAGAAAAGGGGCTTACTTATCATATAGCCAAATCTTATGTATAAAGTAGAAAAATCTGTTATGATGATCTTAATGTAGCATGTCTCTCCCTAAATGTTGGCAGGGGACATGTTCAATTATGAAATATTTTCATGGCCCATCTACATCCAACTCTTCAAAGCAATTAGTGGATAATTCCATCCTTGAAGTTTCACCACTTTCACCCTCAGGTCTCCTGGTTTGCTAACTGTTGTTTGTCCATCTTTAATTATTTTTAATATTTTATTTCCAGAGTCTAACTGAGCTAGATATTCATTAGGCGGTGAAAGATGCTCAGAAGTGAATTCATGTGAGCCAAAAATTGAATTTCTTGGGGAAGAAGAAAGATGGAACAAGGATCCTCTGCCTGTTTTAGGTCAAGAAGAAGAGGAAAGAAGTATTTTGAAGGGCCAGGTTTGGAGGCAGCAGCTTCTTTTCTAGTCTGAAATTTTCTCATTTTATAATGAATGATGTCAATAAAAGCAGATTCCCTGTGACATTTATGAAGTGGAATAGTTAGGGCTCAAATGCGGAGTTTGGTGGCTAGTATGGACTATTGATGTCCTGCAAAATTGTCTATTATGTAAAATGTCTAACGCTGTTGGTGGTCATTACTACATGCTTCTGCTTGATTCTTTTTTTTGTTTTTTCTAATTTCCAAGCTTAGAACATTTTTTGTTACTAACTGTTCTGTCCACAGGATCCATCTTGCTCTTCATCAAAGGCACAAGATGGTGTCATCCAAGAAACTTCGTTAGTGATACCAACAGGTTATATCTTCTCAAAATTGCTTGGACTTGGCTCCCACTGTTACCCTTTGAGATTTGATTAAGGTGCAGTGTTTGTGCAGGAGTTGCAAGGTTCCTGGAACAGAATCAAAGTACACAACCGAGGGAGCTTGCTTGGAATGACAGTCAGGTTAAGTCAGAACACAAGGAGCACAAAAGAAAAATGAAAGACAAGGTTCAACTATGCTTGTTCAATTCTGCCCTTCCATTATCTATTCACAACTTTAATATGTCAAAATGCTCTTCCTGGTCAATATATCTGAGAATAACTATTTGGTGTGGGTGGTTAAGGCATTTTAGAAAAGTTGTTAGGTATAACATTCATCATATACTTGGTCATACCTAGGTCTTATTTTTCTTTTTCATCCGATTTCAGTTGTTTTTATGTAAAACTACAAAGATATGATGCCCTAAAATTGCAAAAATGATGATAACAGTTGCCAAGCCTGTTCAAATTAGGGCACACTGTCGTAAACCGTGCAATTAGGAGTATACATTAGTATCATCTTTATGGCTTTCTAGTGACTTCCTTAACCCGTTTCAATATGTTGTGACAGGGGACACCATCAATTTTAAAGTTTTTTAAGAGCTGCAATCCCTCTGGCCCTTCAGAGTCTCAGGAGCAAGTTCAAACTCTTCAAGGTACCAGCCCTCTGCTAACATCATCTGTATGTAATAAATGAACTTGGTTAAATTAAATTTAGGTCCAAGTTTTCAGTTCGTAAGGTTAACTTCGCAGAGAATGGGACAACTAGCAGTGACAGTACATCATATCCCAGTGGACAGAGAAGGGAAGCATGGAGTTATAGGATTGATGAGATTGACCCAGCTGTTATAGATGAATTGCCTCCGGAGATCCAAGATGAACTTCGTGCATGGATGCAACCTCATAAGCAGCCTAACGTAGTTAATCGAGGCTCCATTGCTCGGTACTTTTCACCTATTAGAAAGACATAGGTAGAAGACCAAGTAAGCAAGGCATAGGTAAATTATGCGGTGATGGCATAATTCATCACGTAAAGAATGGTTGTTTCTAAGCATTTCAAATAGAGATGCTTATCCGACAAATATACTTTTTATTAAAAATTTTTTACGTTGAATATGTAGTTATGTAGCAATTGTATTGTATAGCATTGTATAGCAAGTGAATGGCATAAAACAACGGTATTTATATAGAACTGTACAAGTTAGATCCTCTTATCATTACATGGGTGTTGACTCATGTTAAACCTCAAATCAAAGCTTTAAAAGTGGATATCAATTTATATATATATATATATATATATATGGAAGATGAATTTCATTAATTTAAACTAGTAGTAAATTACAAGGTTGTTAGTAGGGGAAAAACATGATAAGATCGTCGTCAATTCTATTCTGTACTCGTTAAGATTTTATGGTGGGACTAAAACCACAACAAATAATTTGGAAAATCTGTGGAATCCCACCCTATTATGCAGAACAAACCTAATATTTTTATGGATTCTAGCACTTAAAGTTAATGACCCGAGCAAGTTTATATTCAAGTATTTTTGTCTTAATTTATTAAAGGAAACTAAATTTTAAGATAGGAATAGTACTCCTCTCCTATTTTATCACTAATAATCTTTGAGGATCTCTCTTATCCCTAAATTTTAATAGTTTACTTTAATCAAATTTTAAGATTGATAAGTTCTTTTATTTAAAATATTTAAAGGTAGATAATATATTATTTTATAATTTGTTCTTTTTACATTTTTTGAATTTTTAATATTATATAAATTAACTTATTTAATGACGTCATTTATATTTGATCCTCCCTATTATTGCTCTTAATTAATCATTGTAATCCCGAAATATTAGAAAGGGAAATCATCCGCAATAACTCTCCTACGATTTGCTGCACGAGAACCCTAGTTTTCAGAAGCATTGAAGTCTGTTGTAGCCGTAGTCCATCGCACCGCCACCAACCACCACCATTGCATTCAGCCGTTGCCTCTACATCCGACATTGTCATGGCTACTTCTCTCTTCCGCCCCAGCCAGTCCCTTGCCTGCCTCGCTCTCCTGCTGCCAACGCCGTCCAATCCACTGTTCCCCGACATCCCCCATAGCCAGCCCAAGACAGCCAATCCCTCCCTCGCTTGACATCCAGCGCCCCCCAACCATCGTCGACACCGTGCCGCCATGCATCACCACCTTTTCCACTTTCTCAGAGTGAAAACCATAGTTTCCTCAACACCCCCTTCAGCCACCAAATTATGGCCAAGATGAAAAGAGAAAAAGAAACCAAAAAATAAAAACCACCAAAAACACAAACAACTGCCCGATGAAAGACTCTCAGGGCAAAAACCCTTGCAAAAGAAAACCACGATTCAAAAGGAATGCATTCCTTTCGTAAAAGTGGATATCAATTTAGTTAGGTTAAACTCTCATTTTGGTCCCTCAATTATTGTACGTACCTTCAACTTAGTCCCTTAACTCAAAAAATCCTTGATTTGGTTTTTATTGTTTACTATTTTTACCCTAATTTAGTCCCTCCGTTAAAAATCCAATGACGAGTCCCGTTAATTAACTGAAATATGATGACGTGTCAAAATAACGTGCCGCATCAAATGCACGCATGAAAAAAGTGATGACATAAAAAAAATAATGTCAAAAAAAAACTTTAAAAATTCTTCTTCTTTTTTCTTTCTTTTCTTTCCCTTTCTTTTCCCCTTGAACCCAACTCTTACTGGGTTCGAACGAATCCAGGTGTCTCGAACCTAGGAGG